GACACGTAGAATTAGGGGATCGGGTGTCACGAACCGACACGTAGAACTAGGGGATCGGAGTGTCACGTTCCGATACATAGTAGTAGGGGAGCGGAGTGTCACGTACCGACACAAGAATAAAGGTGATGAATCTTGAAAGATGTTAATATACTCAATCTAATGAACCTAATTCCCAAATGAGTATGGTATTGAGGCTTGAGTCCTCATGTGTGAACTTGGTGGTACTTATTAACGATTATAGTACTTGTTGTTGCTACAGATTGAGTATTGTAGTTGATTTATGATATTATCTGATATATACTGTTTTCTATTTTGAGTTGGCCGATGATATCTACTCAGTACCCGTGTTTGTACTGACCCCTACTTGTATGTTTCTTCTTGTTAAATTGTGGAGTGCAGCAAACGTGCCGTCGTCTTCAACTCAACCGCAACTCTAGCCAGTCTTCATTACACCGGATTTCAGGGTGAGCTAATGCTTCTAGCTTGGACTGGATCTTCCTCTTCATGTCTTGATGCCTTGAACTTCCGGCATGGACTAGCTTTTTACTTATTTTAGCTTCTTCGATACTCTTAGATTAGTAATTTGAGGATAGATGTTCTTGTGATGATGACTTCCAGATTTTGGGGATAATAATAAGTGTTTGAGTTTTTAGAAGTTATTTGATTTATTTTGTTAATGAGTTTTAAGTCTTCCGCAATGTATTTAGTTCATTATGTTTGAAATGATGGGGTTTAGATTGGTTGGTTCGCTCACATAGGAGGATAAATGTGGGTGCCACTCACAGCTCGATTTGGGTCGTGACAGATTTTTAAAAAATCATATCGTATTTATCGATATTTAATTTGACTAATTTTTAAAAATTAAATTAGATTATATTAAGTTGATATGTTAAACAAAAAATTTAGATATTAAAAAACTATACAAAAAATGCTATAAATTTCAATGTTATGTGTAATAATATGTACAAAAATACATCATATAATGTTAATCAAAATTATTATTCTTTTAATCTAAAAAGGAAACTATGAAAATTAAAAATGGACGAAATTATATTGTGTATGTATTTTTGAAATTTTATTATTGATGTAATTATAATTAAAAATCATAAATAATTAAATTTACAGTTACTTTTTGCATCTTAATTTATCTAATTCACTTCAATTTGAATCAACTATGTTTTAATATTGTCTTCAATTTTTGAGGTGTTTTATTAAACATTTAAAGCTTAAACTAATGTGATTATCAAATAACCAGATTTAAAAAATATTGTAACTTTAAATGTGATAAGTAACAATCATTATAATATTGATTTTTGTATTTAAAAGTATTTATCAAATGTTATATCAGTAAAAATGGTATTCTAATTGACATATTCAATGAAATAGAGTCGTAATTTTATTTTTAAACACTTTTAGAATAATCTTAATACTTTTTATAATAATTGAGATCTTCTTCAGTGGATTCCTCTTGTTCCTGTTTAGTCCCCTTCATTTCGGAAGCAGTTTCTATTTCTACGTCTCTTTCTTCCTCACTTTCCACCCTTCTCTTGAAAAAAATTCAAAACTATCATCAATAAAAGAGATTGAAATATTTGGATTGTTATGTAACATACAATAATTTATATGTGTTCATTATTTTCTTACAAAATGTTACAAAAAAAATTATATTTTCAATTGAAAAAGAAAAATTAATTAATAAATTATAATTAATTGTATTTTTTTAGAATTTATGAGAACAATATATATAATATAAAATATTGAATAAATTGTTGCGGCTCAGCCACTATATGTTTTTTTTTTAATTATTATTTTATTTTGTTTTCATTCGGTGACAATCTCTCTTTACTAAATTTTGTCTTAATTCCACTCATTTTGTTGGATATATCAAACTAACTAATATGCCATTTTACTATTTATATCCTTGATTTTCTTCCTATTTTCTAGAAATGATTTTGCCACTAAAAAGCTAAGAGATGAATAATGCAAAATATATAACTATTACTTTCATAGTTTGACAGCTATGATTAAAAAAAAATTATACAATTGTATTATCTTTTAATTCTTACGTAAGGGTAACCTCATTGATATTTAGTTCTTTAGTTGGCCATAACGATAAATTGAACTCCCTTTGATTTCAGCAAAACCAATAAGTATAATTTATTCAACTAAAAATTTAAAATAATTCATGTAGCATCTTCAGAATCAATAAAATTAATTTGTTCAACTAAGAATAAAAATTATTCATGTATCATCACCCTTTGATTTCACCATAGGTAATAAAGTTAATTTGTTCAACTCAACTCCACGAACACAACTCAGAAACATATCAAGGAAATTGAAGTGAAATTAAAACAAACCTATGAAGCTAATCTCATGAAAAATGTTTGTTAACGAAAATAAAGGGAAAACGAGAGATAAAAACAAATGAAAAACGAAAAAAAAAGAAGAGAAAAACGCTATGAATTCACATATTAAAGCCTCGTAAATTTGTAGATCAAAATATTTTTTTACCTAGTATATCGATAAAAATTTGTTCAACATAAATTTCGATATAAAATCTATTTATGCAACATAAGTTGTATAATATTTTATGACCTAATTCGATTCAATAAATTTAAAGAATTCTTGCTTAGTTTTGCATAAGTCGATTTACCTAGCTAGACATAAGTTATATAAGAATTAAGTTAAATAACACGACATAACTTCTAAATTCTTACTTGTCTCGTTCAACACAAGTTATGTAAGAATCAAGTTCACAATACGTTATAACTTGATACAAAAACATAAATTTATGTTGTGCAAAAACGTATTTGTTATTTTTGTGTCAATAACATTTTTGACCACTTATTTTTACTTGAAGCATTGAAGGTAATTTTCGTGTCAATAATATTTTTGACCACTTATTTTTACTTAAAATTGTTGAAGGTCAAAAAATTTTGAGGGTAAAAATCAAAACCCCCAATAAAATAAGAATATTTATGTGAATGACCACATAAAAGATATTTCAAGTTTGAACGGGTATTTGAACATGTATTTCACCTGAAAATATGTTGAAGCCTTCTAGAAAAAAAGAACTGTTTCAATTTTTATGTTGGAAGTGAAAAATTTACATAATATATAGTCAAATAGATTATAAAAATGTCCAAAATGTTTTTAAACCTAAAAATTTTACTACTACAAAAAAACAATTTGTCTTGACTATTTCTTTCAATAAATTCTTTTTGAGTGTCTTGTGGTAGACTCTCAAAGAGTGTTAGGTTGTGGAGCCTGATTAATATTTGATGTACTATTTATTCTCTGTAACAAAAAATACTCTGATTTATCAATATATATACCCCACACACCCGTGAAAGTTTCCTCACGGGGTGTTGCCACAAAATATTGGTTTCTCTTTTTTTCTCTCTAGATCTCTCATCTCTTTCTCTTGAAAGTTTTTGTGTTCTTCATTCATCAAGTTTGTGTGTGAATTCGATCCTAACATCAAGTGTCAAAACTCTCTTCATGTAAGAAAGAAAAAAATGAAAACATGAACTTCCCCAATATTTTAGCACAATTGGTAGAGGAAAGGCACAAAACTACACTGAGAAAATAACAGGTGCATGATTAGTGTACACTGTCGATCGATCGATAAAAACACAAGTTAATCGTTTAAAGATCCTCTGGATGAATGCCAAGAACCATTGAGGCTATTGAACAGGCAAGTACCTGTCTCGTTGTTTGGCATTTGGAGATGTACTCTAGATCTTAACTGTGATGTTCTGAGCTGTAAAAGTACCAACTCCGATCATCAGTCAGATCAACGTCCCTATTACTTTGTAACGATGTCTGGCTCAAATACCTACTGTGAATCGACAAATACCTGCAGTATGATGCAGAATTATGATATAAGAAGACATTCAACATTTTCTTTACTTTTTCGAACATGAGACATTCAACCAGTGAGTTCTATTTTGGGCTGCTGTTATTGGAATGCCAAGAGAAGGATGAATAGTTAAGGGTGTGCGCGTAGATCAATTTGAGTTTCATCCGTAGTGTTTTAGGAACACTAGTTGTCAGCAGACAATGTTCTTGTCAATACCATGTGGCAATGAGAGTAGACAGAGGTCTGGATCTATACTGAAGGGAGGTCGACAATGTGTGGACAATCATGTATTAGAAGGGTGCAACCAAATTCGACTATAAGAAAAGGTGTATAGAGAGGGAATGAAATTGAAAAGAAGCATTATCCTCCATGTCAACAGTTGTGTAAGCTGAAACTCACCTCCAATTCCAGTAAAGAATCATATGTTTTCTTCTCGCGTGTGTCGAACACTGTAATGCCTGTGATTTTCTGTACCCCATGCTTCACAGCAATCAGATTCTACATGGGAAAGTGCACCCAGAATCATTTTTAGCATGCAAGGAAACAACTGAATGATCAAATAAACGACTGAAAGATATATCCGATTAAAAAAGATAGCATTTGAGCGCTATCCATTTTACAAGAATAAATTGAAGATTATCCTCACCAACTCTAATTCTGAAGAGCTAAATGCTTCCACCTGTGCCAAATGCTGTAACCAAGAGAAGTTTAGAATAGACAAGAAAAAGATGCAGGTGTAACCCTATGCCCAACAACTGTAACCCTATGCCCAACAACTGTTAAACTGTAAAGAGAAAAAATTGGACGAAATTAGACTTGTAGATGAAGTAAGATTCTGATAGAGAATTGAACTTGCACATCAAAGTGCGCAAGTAATATTATGACAACCACAGTGCTAAACATAAGAGTCCGACAATTAGAAACAGAACGAAATGCATGCACCAAACAAGAACTTCAACAAAAAGAAGGTAATTTCATTAGGTCATTGAATGAGAGAAAGGACAAAGCTAATCAGGATAGGGCAGAAGCTATTTCAGCGTCTCACCATTGTTAGAAGACCATTAACCATGATAGCCTTCTCATCAAGTGAGTCACTTTGTGACACCCAAACTTCAAAAGGCCCCAGCACCCTGTCTGTCTGATTTGTAAGATTCAGACGTACCTACAGAAGAGCCCACAAAGACATCAGAATTCATGACAGACCAATCACAAGCAGAATATGGAAAACTAGCAAATGCAATTCAAATGAACAAACTTCCTCACAAATTCCATAGATAAAAGGACTCTCGTAATAATCCCCAAAACACTAGTTTCAAACAGCAGTCAGCACTGAATTAGGAGAAATGGACTATTATTATTTTATTAGACATGATTTCAGTCTTACCATGAAAGGTTTCTCCAGCATGATAATCGATGGCACTTCCACCGCTCTTAGTTCAATGTCTTTTTGAGCAATGGACTGCAAGGTGTGAAAAGAATACCTTAGGAGTGCATCAAAACTTCAATATTAAAAATCACTTCACTTACACTTCCAAGAATTTGTTGTGTCTGAAGGCGTCCGGGTTCACCCAAATTTGTCCGCCAAGTTATCTGAAGTTTTCCCAAGACATTACTTCCCTCCACCTTCGGCAGTGGAGAGCCATCTGATGATAACTTCAATTGGTAGAGGAAATTATGGATCCCGCCCCCAGATTTTAAGAGAATAGGAGGCTTAAATACATCACTGGCAGATCAAATAGACCAGCAAACTTTAGTCGAGGGAACAAAGATGACTGCTAAAATCAATTGGTGAACATGTCAAAATTTTAAACCAAAAAAAATGTTGCAATTCCCATGGTACAACAGAGAATATCTATCAGTCAACCTCATTGGTTGTTTGCTCTCTGGATGGTGATCAACACCTCTTAGTACTGTAGCATTCCAATTCTGAGCTGGCTCAAAATCAACTTGGTCCATATAGAGATTAGATTTTGTATGATTCTCTATGCTAGCCTCCAAAAAAGTGGTTTCCTGGGATAGGAAAAAGGGTTTACTGTCATGAACAGAAAAAGTATGAGAAATGTAGAAGCTGAGATCACTGCTTCTGGTAAATGATTCTCAAGAGTCAAGATGGTTTGTACTATTAAAATTAAATGTGATCTCACGTAATCCTTTTAGCCATTAAAAGCTGCCAAAATGAGTTGAAATAACTGACATTACATATAAGCAAATGATATCTAGGGGTCGCAAAATGCAGATATTCCAAAGTGGCAAGTCAGATGCAGTATGCTGAATGTAACCAAAACTTGGCCTTAACTGACACGACCCAACCGATGAAATTGAAATACTGAATGCAAAAACTGAATTTTCTTGACCCATTTTCTTTAGAATTTCAACATGAGAGAATGAATGCCAGATCATGAACTTACACTCAAAGAGCTTGAACCAACCTACCTTAACAACGCGGACCTGCAGAAACAAATTAGCAGTTATTATCTTGAAAAAGAACGAACAAACTTGAGAAATAATAAAGAAATCAAATATGAAATATCTTAAAACAGCAGCAAAAAAAGTAAAAGTAAAAACTGTTCCTTATACATTAGAAAATAAAGCATATATAATCCTTTCACATTAACCATGCAAACAGCTTGGATTTTTTTTATGTACCTTTGTTCTAACAGAAAGTGGATTCGCAACCATAAATTTGAAATATTGTGGAAGATATTTCCGCTCACCATCGTTGTCATTATAAAGAGCAGTGCAGACCAACCTAGAAAAATGAAGGAGTTGGATAAGTAAACTATCATATTGGTAGAAAGCTACTACCAACATAGAACGCCATTTTTTATGATGAATCTTACGTGTGTGCACCAAGTTCTTTCACATCATGTTCCACGATGAAGTCATATCTACCTCCAGCACGTATTGACTCAACAGGTGATTTAGAAGTATCTAAAAGAAGTATCCTCTGCCTCTCTGTTTGGATTTCAGCCTGTAAAAAATTAAATATCACTTCTATAAAGCAGCTCTTAGAGTCAAGGATTCCAATTCCAAAGGTATGACAGTTTCTAGCTCATCTCAGTTTGCTGATATATGAGAAATAAGATATATTTAAAATAAGATCCCAGTATTGACTTGACTCACAATCAGAGACTCTTGAGGTCTAAATCGGCAGATCTTATCTCACCTTTTGTGACTTAACAATTCATAAGCCGTTTATATTGTGAAACGCTTTAAGCTAAACACACTGTAGAAAAATGATAGCATATCCACTAACAAAAACTAAAGCTTCATAATCGATGCTTAAGAGACATTCAATATTCATGCACTCACAACATAGACTCTATTGTGAGCATTGATCTAATTCATTTTCTTCAGTGTAAGATACATCCGTAGCACACTTTTCAAATAATGAAATTTTAACTAATGAATTTTTATAGAGAACTTAGTTTAGCAACAAATGATCAATGAAGAGCATAAAGGCATGGCTTATACAAAATGCCATAGAATGTTTCCTCTATGTAACTTTGTCAAGAATGTCCTCTGTGTGTGCATATTTCTAAATATGCAAATGTGACCCTAAGACAAGAAGATTGCTATCACATTGTTGTTCTCCATTTACTATTTTTTCCACGAAAGTTTCCATACCAGAAGCACATGCTTCTTGTAAGACGGTTCACTTAGTAGAAACAAAAAACCATTTGGTTATATTTGTGTTTTTTTTAACAGTTCGTAATATTTTTGTACTAAAATGCACAAAGTAACTCAAACAGGGTAAAAACACCAGCTTCATTTAAGACTAGCGGGAGAGCAGGAATTCAGCCATGCCACCTCACAAATTTTATGACCTCAGTTGAAATTGTAAGAGAATCTTGCTTATCAACAGGTTGAATACATTCATAGAACCTCTAGCACTATTTACAGTAGCTCCTTATGTAATCAGCTAAGCAAGCAAATCACCTTGATGGTAACATCTCTAACTTCAAAATTGGAGCTGTTATTTATGCTTATATAACTGCAGAACGTCTCTCCCAAATATATTGCCCTGCAGATCACAAATTGTAAAGGGGAAAACAGCAATAACTAATCACAACAAATCCACCATATAAGCAGTGATTGCACATCTCCCATTATTTTTTGTTCGAATATATGCACAAAATTTTTGACAACATATACTCCATTTCAAAAAGAATAACGGATATCAGAGTACGAAGGCTCAAACCATTCGATCTCATTGCAATTTGTAGATCACTTCTTTCAAATTTTAAAAATGAAATGTCCACATTTAAAAACTGCATAAACAGTAGTAATACTAGAAGTTTCAACTTTTGTAATTTTAAATTATTACAAATTTACAAGAAGAATCTATTGGACCTCAAAAAAGAAATACTACAAGAACAACAACAATCCCAGTGTGATCCCACAAGTGTTGGTGAGGAGGTAGGATGTAGGATGTATGCAGACCTTACCCCTACTTTGGGGTAGAGAGGTTGTTTCTGATTGGCTCGAAAATGTGAAAGAATGACAAAAGTCCCACATTGGTGGTTAATAAGATGGGTGGACTCTTTATAAGGCTTGAGTTAGCTTTTGGGGTGTGAGTTAGGCCTAAGACCTAGTAGACCCAAAATCAAACATTGCTCACACACCAGATGCTAAGCACTGGCATGAGGTGGTGTGTTAAAGAATGACAAAAGTCTCACATCGGTGGTTAATGAGATGGGTGAACTCCTTATAAGACTTGGACAATTATCCTCCCTTTGAGCTAGCTTTTGGGGTGTGAGTTTGCCCTAAGACCTAATTTCACATGGAGCAGGCCATCTCACCCGATGTTGGGGCCCCCAAAATCAAATTGCCCATGAACCAGATGCTAAGCACTGGGCGTGAGGTGGGGTGTCAAAAATGACAAAAGTCCCACATTGATTAATGAGATGGGTGGACTCCTTATAAGGCTTGGGCAATCCTCTTCCCTTTGAGCTAGCTTTTGGGGTGTGAGTTAGGCCTAAGACCTAATGTAACAAAAAGAAAAAGGAAGAATTTGTAGCATGGTAACACAAAATATGACAACAAACTAACAAGAGATAAAGCAAATGAAGTAACAGATCATAATACACATTGAAGATAAGAAACTACACGATTACTAAATAATACTAGTAATAAGGAAAAGCACAGAGGAGGCTAGCTCCCTTGCCTCTCTCACACGAAGTGCGAGAAAACTCGGGTACCTACAAATATTCTAGCCTAATGCTTGCCCATTTTTCTATCAAAGGTGATGTCTTAAGTAAGTTGAAATTGCATCATATTTTGTCTAATCACCTCCCCTTAGTTCTTCTTCAGCCTACCTCTACCTTTTGTAACTCATGTAATAGTCAATCTCTCCCACTTCTTTACTAGCACATCCATGCACCTCCTCCTCACATGCCCGATTCCCGAACCATCTCAACCTCTTCCCTTCATCTTGTCCATGATGGGCCCCACTCCCACCTTACCATGTATTCATTCTTAACCATATCTCTCCTAATATGCCCACACAACTATCTGAGCATCCTCATCTCCACTTCATTTATCTTCTGAATGTGGGCGTTCTTGGTTGGCCAACACTCTGCCCCATACAACAATTGTGGTCCAACCACCACTCTGTAGAATTGACCTTAAGCCTTAGCAACACATTCTCATTGCATAGTACCCAAATGTGAGTCTCCATTTCATCCACCCTCTATAATATGATGCATAACATGATTATGGATTATGGATTATGGACCGAAGTAACTTGAAATTTCCTTTCTTGATTATGAATCTTGCATCGATCTTCACACTGAACTTGCACTTCAGGCACTAAGTTTTAGTCCTACCCAATCTGAAACCTTTAGACTCTAGGGCCTGTCGTCAGTGTTCTAGCCACTCGTTAACTCCACCATGCGTCTCTTCAATCAATAGCATATCCTATGCAAATAACATACACCACGGCACCCACCTTTGAATATGTAGTGTCAATTCATCAGCTAGTAAGTCATAGGAACATACTAAGGATTGATCCCTTGTACAACCTCATCATGATTGAGAAGTAGTATACATCAAGTAGTGCACTTCAAAAATAATACTACTAAAACCAACTGAACTATTCAAAAGTAATAGCCTTCTAAAATAGAATGAAAGTAGGTGATGAACATCTTAAGAAGTGTATACACAGATTTTAAATCCAGATACAAGTGCCCCAACATTTTAGTTAAGAGAAAGAACATGAAGCTAACTCAAAGGACTGATATCACAGTACAGGGCCAAACATCCAATTATATAGCAACTTGAACATCACTTCTTTCAATTTCAAAACATTAAATGTCCACATTTTAAAACTGCATAAAAAGTAGCACTGTAAGTTACATATCATGTAGCTAAAAATATTAACTACTCCTTATAGTAAGAATTTTACAAAAATTAAGTATGGGAGTAATGATTTTAAATCCAGATACATAGTATAGCCACATTCACAGGAGCTTGGAGTTATTCCAAATTTGGAGAATTGCTCCAAACCTGTTTTTCAAATCCATCTTCGTAAATTAAAATAAAATGCTTTATCTTCTCCTTTTGTTATAACCAAAATCCATCTATATTTGGAAACCTATAGTCAAACCACTACTAAATCCACAAACAGAGTATACTAATACTAACATTTAAGATAGAGAAAGCAAAACGAAGCGAACCCAAAGGACTGAGGTAGCAGGAGGAGACCAGGGAGGCCAAGAGAATCAGAAGGATGCTGAAGAAGGAATCTATTCCGGTAAGAGAGATCCGATGGATCAGCCGCAGAGGTAGTAGTTCCGTCGGAGACTGTGTCAGCGAGGAGTCGAGGGAGATGAGAAGCGGCAACGGGATCATCGAAGAGATCTTCACCGAACAACAGATCGGAAGGATCAAATCTGACCGGAATTTCGACGTGAAGCGAAGGACGGCAGAGTCTCATTACCCGAAAGGCCAGAGAGTGTGGACCTTGCGTACTGCTCATCTTCATTGTTGCTGATTTCTCAAACGGAAAACTTTTGTTGTCCAAGGGAAGTGGAAGTATATAATTATCAAATCAATTTTCAAATATTAATAAAAATTTTGCCCAAAAAAAAAGAAAAAAGTCACACTATAAAATTTTTTATAAAAATAAAATAAAATATATATATATATATATATATATATATATATATATATATAT